GCAAGACATGAAAAAATTTCAAACAAATCACTTGAATTTCATCAAACAAGTCTTCTGCTTCTTCCATGGCGATGATCATTATGATTTGTTTGTTTTTCAAACTTTTTTTTCCATCGCAAAGAAAACATAAAAAAATTATTTTTCAATTTTTTATTCTTCATATTTTTGATATGCTCATGTTCAGTCCTCCCCATCATGCTTTTCAAAAAAAAAATTCCTCTACCTCAACTTTAACAGAATTTGAGTTGTTTGTACTTTATTGTGTTGTTGTTGTTTTTCTGGTGAATAAAAATTATTCAGAATTAAATTCACATTATGATATGACTGAAAATTAAATCTTTTTTTTTTGTAGGCACATTTTTTCATATTTTTGTGTGTGAGTATGAGACTCGTTCTCTTATTCATGAATTCCTATCATGATTCCTAGCTAGTATATTTGTTTTATCGATTAAACAACTGAAAAAGAGAATATGAAAATTGTTGAAGAGCTTTTCTGTATCCAAAACCATTTAGATTATATTTTTATATTTTAACAAATGTAGATATCAGTGTTGTTTGCTTATAATGGAAACTATCCGCAGTTTCAATTATGGGGTTCTAGAAATAAAAGCGGACATTTTATGCGCATTTTCAGGCTTCTGTGTGGATAAAGATTTTGTTTATACATTTGTGTAATTTTGTACTAATAAAGCATCTAGTTTCTAATATAATTAATAATTTAAATAAAATTGGTCTGGAGTCTAGTCAGAAGGTGTAATATAGACAGTTTTAGTGATAAGAAAATCCATTCTTGCGGTATTTTCATTATCCCACGCGCACAACTACCTGGTAGTCAACCTATAAGGCATAACTTACAAACATACATCCATACATCGCTGACTTTACAGATCGATTATGATCCATAGCCTCCCTTAGTTGGCATCTGAGAGAGACTCTGTAGCTACTCTCTGCTAATCGCCAATACCAAATGCTATGCTATCACTGTCAACAGAAGCAGTTAAGTGCCTGGTCGAATAGGTAAGGCGCTTGGCTCAAATTTGGTATGGTAACTCGAAGGTCGTCGATTCGAATCCAGCCATTTCCAAATTTGTTCTTTTTCAGAAGTTTAGATACTTTGACTGCTTAATGTACGAGTCAAGCCATAATTGGGCATTTTGGGCAACGTTGGATTAAGGAACGGATCAGGAACTTGAAGTGTAGCGGGAGAAATAGGAACGAGAGCTACAAGATTACCTTATAATGGAATATTGTCAGAACGGACCTGAAATGTATCACGTCACGCCCACAAAGGTTGAAACGAAAGCCTGAATTTAATCGAAACCTAGATTTGAAGATTAGAAGCTTGATTCTTCGATAGTGATATGCAATGTATAGTGATATGAAATGTATCACTAATCAGTGTAAAAAGTAAAACATGTATAAATACTAATTCTTCCGGACGGTAAGGTCGACAAATAAATAATAATAACAGCTTTCTTCCGGGAGTTCTTTGGTCGTCCGTCTACTCTATTTTTTTAATTGGAGCTTCTTCAGGTCTCCTGATAATATGACCAGCCCAATGTAGTCTGTTGACCTTGATCCGCTTCACAATATCAGCTTCCTTGAATAACTGATATAGTTCTGCGTTGCTCCTGCTCTTAAAAAGATATCCTTCCTTTTTTGGTCCAAGAATATTGACTTAACATTCTAAAATCATCCCAAGTCAATCATCTGATTAATTCGTTTTGATAAAATTTATTATTAATGTGCCAAACCACCAAAGAACTTTACAAAGCTATTAAGCCCATGCCATAAAACAACACTGGATCAAAGCTACATTCACACACAAAAAATGTCTGTGAGAATATTGTACGTATTCATTTTTATGCACACAGAACATAAATTTATTTAATGATAGCTTCAAATCATGATGGAAATTGAATTATAATTTTTTGTTTATTTTATGAATTTATGTAGTGTATGCATAGTGTTCGTTCAGGGATTGATATAAATATTGAATCACTGAATTTCAACTATAATGAAAAGTGATAACGAAATAACTTTATTTTTGTGCTCAATAAACATTCTCATTTTTTTATCCCTCTGAAATAAACCTAAATAAATTCATATTATTAAGAAACAAAACAAAAAAAAAATTCAATTGAAACAATTGTTTCCTTCAAAATATATGTTTAATAAAATAGTCTGCACATAATGGCTTTAGACATCAAGCGATTTATGTATTTATATTTATTTATTTGTGCAATGAGACAACAGGATAGAAAAAAAATGGAAAAGAAAGTGCTGTGGGAAAAAGGGAATAGATGAGTTCGATAAATGTCGCGTGCACATAGCAATGAAAGAGCAATCGTAAGATTTTTATTAGATTAAATCATTCATTCTTCTTATTTTTTTTATACAGCAAGTCATTTGACTAAATTTCTTTTTTTTATTCGCGTTTTAGCGCAATTTTGAATTTTATATTTTTTTCAATGGGGTGTAAACCTTGTTTTGTCAGTATATCTTAGAATTTTTTGTCCTGTGCGTAGAAGGAGCGATAATTTTTTTTAAAACTTGATCACTAGCACACTAGATTTGGGCAACTTTAGTCTTTTATCTTTACATGTAATAGTAAACTTGAAGATAAAGCTCAAAATTATAAAAGATCCATAATAATACAGATCAGATCTGTACCAGCAAATCCAGATAAGATTTTTATAAGCTTGTTACAGTCAAAGTCGCGTAGCCAGAGCTTTAACAATCTATAACAGGCCCAAATGCGATCAAGTTCTGATTAAATTAATTTAAAGATTCAGTTTAATCTAAGTCACTTTTAGAGATTAAAATCAGAATCAAAATAGATCCAGTCAGATGCTGAGTTGTGATTGAGTGTAGTTTAATAATTTTTATTTAATCCGTAAATTTTGATTGTTGTAATAGTTTAATTTATTTAACTTATATTGTCTTACATGTTACGGATTTTTTAAGAAATTTGTAGCGTGTTACACTCGTTCACGACTTAAAAGTAAATGAAAGAATCTACGTTACTGCGCCTGAATGTTCAGGTGCATATGAGTAATTGTAACGAGTAATTTGAATCGAGTGCAGACGTTACAAATGATATGTAAATAACAAATTGTATAATATAATTAATCATTAGTTTTAGGATAGTTTAATCAATTAACAGTTATTCTAAATAGTAGATTTAATGTAGAAATTAAGGAATTATTCTTAAAATGCATGAATTAGTTAAGTTTCCTATGTCTGTTAATAATTACAATAAAAGCTGTCGTTTCTGTCAACGACACTGAGTATCAATCAGTCCCGTTAAACAAAGATCTGATAACAATCAAGACATTATAAGGACATTGGCTTTATTAAGGACAATGGAATTCTATCGTAGGGGACTTAGGACAAGGGTCAGACACTCCAAAGTATTGTACGGTATTGTACAATACTTACAATACTTACAATACTTTCCATACAAGTATTGTAGTATTGTACAATACCTACAATACTTACAATACTTGCCATATAAGTATTGTAAGTATTGTAAGTATTGTACAATACTTACAATACTTTTCATATAAATTTACAATACTTTACAATACTTACAATACTGAAATTTAATTATTCAAGAACCAAATTTTAAAAGAAATTAAATATTTTTTGAGTTTTCAACAATTTGTAAAACCAAATTTAATAGTTTTTTTTGACAAATATTGATAAATAACAATTTTTTTTGATAAATTAACATTATTATTGAAAATTAGCAGGGTATTTTATGAAAAACTAGCACAAATTTCAGTTTTCCATTAAAAGAGAGTATTTCTGATTATGTAATGGCTATAAAAATGGTATAAAGTTCAAAATTCTTTTGTAAAGCTAAACTGATGCAAATCAAGAATTGATTTCGTACAATTCTCATGCATAAAACCGTACAGGTACGAAGTTTATTATGTAAACTAATATTAAATGTCAATAAGGAAATAATAATAATAATAATAATAATCAAAATTAAATAGATTGGTTTTATTTTCACAAGATTTATCACCCTTTATAGCAAACTGCATTACGTTTTATACAAATTTTTTGATCAAAGTATAAGGTTTTAAGTGTATTCAAACATTACTTTGACGATTTGAATTTTTTTACCTCTGACAAAAAGGCGATAAAGAAGGAATCAAATTTAACAAACTTATCAAATGGTTTTTATAGCATTTTTTTTTGAAAATACCGAAAATACATATTTTCAACAACTGCATCTCTAAAACAATATAAAGCTGTATATTTTCTTATTTCTTTGTCAAAATTATACTAATTTTTTTTAGTTCTTATAGTTGATACTAGACTTTCACGATTTCCTGTTCCCGAAATTTTTGGGACAGAAACTCGATGAATAACAATAGTCATCCAAAAAAAATTAATGTCAAATTATCTCAATTGAAAAGTTTCATCATTTAAACACAAAAAAATCATGTTTGATATTTGAGTTTAAATTTTTGTCCAGTTCCGATAATTTTTTGGGTCCGGGAAATCGTGAATGCCTAGTTAATACAAAAATGTATATCATTTCAGGAAAATTCCAGAGATCGAAGCCGATTTTTTCGGCTTAACTCAATTTTTGATTTTTTTTTTTGATAGAAAAAAGCTATTTACCACACATTTCAAGTATTTAAATTGAACTTTACATGCTTTACTATGATTCTGTGTAATATTTTATCCAATTCTTGTATTCTTTTGTCCAGTTCAATCTAAATACTTGAAATGGGTGGTAAATGGCTTTTTTCTATCAAAAAAATCAAAAATTGAGTTAAGCCGAAAAAATCGGCTTCGATCTCTGGAAAATTCACTGAAAATTTCTGATGAAAAATGTCCTTACTAAAAGCAAAGTAAACTTTAAAGAAACAAACTTTAATCGAGGCATAGCAATGTTATGATATGACTTAAAACGCTATAAAAAAAACTAAACCTCGGTGTTACCTTTATGAAACTGAAGCAAACGTTAAAGTTCCTCTAATATGAGGAGACTAATGTCTAATATTCTCATCTTATCTATGTTTTCGCTAATAATGTTTGATATTTTTGGCTGCATCTGGCGTTGTATCGCCCTCGTTTCGAGCCAGAATACTTTTTTTGCTATTGAAAATTTTGAAAAATGAGTTTATTACCAAAAATTTTGTTTACAAATATTTTTACAATATTTGTATATGTTTTAGACTGAATATTTTTGAAGAACTATAAAATTTTAATTAAAACTTAAAAATATTTAGTTCAAAATTGCTAATTATGTATTTTCATCAAATTTTGGTTCAAAAAATGTAAAGAAACACGAAAAACTACATAAAAACCGTCAATTATAATCAAATTCATATGACAAATGTTTCTCAAACTGTCTTGTAAAAGCTACAATACTTACAATACTTTCCATACAAGTATTGTAAGAATTGTAAGTATTGTACAATCCTACAATACTTGTCATACAAGTATTGTAAGTATTGTAGGTATTGTACAATACTTACAATACTTTCATATGTATTGTAAAGTATTGTACAATACATTACAATACTTTTGGAGTGTCTGACCCTTGACTTAGGATGGTACAACAGATCATCGATCGCAGTGCCGCTTTTGCTACAAGCAAATCCAACATTACATTCCATTCTATTCAAACTATCAAAACACATACAAAACCATGGTAAACCAAGTACCAGCAGAAAAAAACATTTCTTAAATCTTAACTAGCAATGCACCAGCTCTTATAAAAATGAGACTAGTCTCCTAGATCCAAATGGATTAAACTAGATCATTATGTAAACCATTGCTTAAAATCCTCAAATACAAAATTCTATTTAAAAATGATAAAAATAAATTATTGGATTAGAGTAATGCAGATTAAGATGCCCTCAAATATTCGGATATCAAAAATAAAGTTAACAAGAAATTAGACATCTGAAAGAATGTGGGCAAATGCCAAAAAATATGATATCCATCCAAATGTCAGTAACATTTCAAACAGATCTGATTTTCAGAAAACCTCCACCATAACAAACAAACAACCTGAGGAATGAATTAGCATATATCTATGTAGAAGCGCTTTCACGTCAACGCGGACATTTTTGATATTTTTGTAGGATACCTTTGCTGTTCATCATTTTTTTCATTCCTTTATTTTCAAGGCGGTAGAGAAAAATGAGCAATAACTTTTAGAAATGACAATGATTGACATAAAAATACAACAGCGAGTCGTAAAATTATTGCATGGTGATGAAGATTCCTCAAATACAATTCTTCATCATCGTCATTCCTTCGTTTTGTTCTCATATTATTCCTTTTGTGTGTGTTCATTTTATGGTTACGATGTCAATCATGAGAAATAAAAAAGCATAAAAAGATGTATATGATATCGTTGGTTTTTTGTGTGCTTTTCTTCACTGATAATCATTTTGTATCCTTTAACATTCCATAGATTTATGTTTATACATATGATAACACAATTGTCCATAAATCTGAGTGATGCCTCGAAAACCTTATCTGAAAACATTCAAAGCACGACATAAAAAGACATGAAATTTTGGATAGTAAACTAAAATATGATTCAGTCACACTATCGTTAAAGCTTAGCTTAGGTTCAAAGTATCCTTTACTTCTTCATTGTGCGTTAACATTACGAGATCCTCATTTAAGATTTTAAAATAAAAGGGAAATAAAAAAATAAAATGAGTAATTTGCACTCAAAACATTATCTCGTTTTTTATTACAAGAAGTCATGCAACGACGATCTTGTACCGCTTTTTTTCTGTTTCAGTTTCATTCATATAAACCTTAAGATGAATTCACAAACCTTTTATGAGAGTACTCTTTTTAAAATGAAATATTTAACGACACCTTAAATTTTTTTTTGTTTAATAAATTACAATTATATTTTTATGTGTATACATTTTATGGAGCTTTGTCATTATGACATATATTCATGTCGTGTAACATAAAGTAAGTGGATTAATGTTAATTATTTTCTGAGTGAGGTTATCAAGAATTCAATTTTCAAGATTTTCATTTTATTTAAAGTCAGATTTATGAGAAAAATAACTTAAAGCGTGAATTAATGCAAGCACATGATATAATCAGCACTGGAGCAATTCTTCAGAATCCTTCAGCATCTCTTTTCTTTTCATATACCAAATTTGTAAGTGAAAAGAAATTTTTAATAGGTTCTTACCAGAGCTCGAAGTCGACTCAAGATTTTCATCGATTTTGTGTGGCTGAGTCGACTCCGTACAAAATTTCATCGACTTCGAGCTCTAGTTTCTAATAGCTAAAGTTTTAAGGAAAACCTTTGTCTTTTCAGATCAATTCTGATCCAGAGGTGGGCTAGGGCGATTCGCAACTAAATGAAAGTTTAACGAGTGAGGATTGCGCCAAACCACTGCACTCACACCTAGAGCTACAATTTGTAGTGGGATGCGAACCACTTTTTTGATGACATTTCTGTCTGTAGTCTACAAAGGAAAGCTGTGAGCCTCATTTCCAGTATGATTCGAAAAAGGACAAGTGAAAAATTTCTCATACCCGGTCTCGAACCCATGATCGCTGTGTCAGTATTGCAATGATTAGGTACCGAAGAACTAAACCATTCCGCCACCCAGCCACTTCAGTTCACTAGAAAAAGTCTGAGTAAAATATTAATTTAAAAATTTGACATTCTTAGCGACTCCATTAGTGTTTTTCCTAAAGTCATTGGAATTGACAGGCATACAAAATGACATTAAATTCAACTCTTTTAAGTCATTATTGAGTCTTGGAATTTTTGCAACTCTTTATCAATACTTTATAAAGCCATTCAGATATAGACAATTTTAGACATCGTTATCAGCAAACTCTTTAAAAATTTAGATAACCTTTACCTTCGTCTTCCGTTATCAACATTAATTAGATACGGGGGCAGGTGCTTGTGATGCCAAGTAGTAAATATTTCAATTTAATAGCTCTAATCTAATCAAAACCTGTTGACGTTTTTGTCGATAAATATGGTTCTTATCAAAACTTTATTCAAGATTGCTATTTTTAAGCCTTGAGATTTGGCAATGTATAAAAGTGGAAGAAAATAACTGCCAGGTAGCATTTAGTGTCCAAATTTTGACTTAAGATGTTGGGAAAGAGTTTGTTATTCGTTTTCGCACTTTTAGTAGCCGTTAATGGTGATGGAAGAATCATCTTCCGTTTCTACCATGAGTAAGTGATTAATAAAAAGTTTGTTGTGAAAATTGATGATGTGACAATATTATTAATAATTCTAGACCAACATATGTGACTGACTACTCTGTCATTGATTTCCATACAATCCTTAACCATCCAAATTTCGGACGTACACGAGAAACAGTTATTTTCCATCATGGTGCTGGTCAAACAGTTGCTACACCACAAGTACATGACGTAATCACAGCATACGCATCAAGACAACAATTCAATTTCATTGCAATCGTCTATGATGATGCTGCAACAATCAGCACAGATGTAAGTTATTCTAAATATTTCAAATGGCAATAAATTAAAATTTTATCAATCGAATAGACTGCCAACGCTCTCGCTGCTGGAGTTTCATCAAGTTTGATCAACTTGTTCGACAATGGATACAGTTCTGGATTAATGAATCTTTTGGGTTTCTCACTCGGTGCTCAAATTCTTGCCAGAAGTTCAAGACAAGTTCAAAGTCAATCGTCACGCAGACACATTATTGGAAGACTTACTGGTCTCGATCCATGGTCTCTTGGACCAATCAATTCAATCACTATCGGAACATTGAGCTCAGCTGATGCACAATGGGTAGAATCCATCCATACCGAAGGAAACTTGCGTGGTGATCTCGAGTCTCGTGGACATGTTTCATTCTTTGTAAATGGTGGAGTTACACAACCAATGTGCAATCAAGCCCTTCCAACAACAAGAGCCGATTGTAGTCATGTCTTTGCTCTTTCAGTCTGGGCTGAATCTGTCCGCACAATATCATTGACATTCGCTTCATTACGTTGTGATACATGGTCAGATTTCTCAAGTGGACTCTGCAACAGCAACGAAATTGCATATATGGGAAGATTGAACTCTGCATCAACATTGAGAGGATCATTCATGCTCGGTACAAACATGCAAGCACCATGGTCAAGAAGCCAAGCTCAACCTTAATTTTGATAAAACGTTCTGAATAAAATTTTTGAAGATTTAAAAAAAAATCTTTGACTTACTAATACATCTACAGCAAGGGCTACATACATATACCCGAATATATCGACTTCATGAACTTATTTTTATTCTTCAAAAAAATTTGGATATTAATAAAACTAAGTTTGATTCGAGTCTATAATACCAAGAATCGTTATCAACATCCATCTCTACTCTATTCAAAAGAACTATAATCCAATTTCAAATATAATAATCAACCCCTTTTGTAGCTTGTAGTTTGCGTAATTTTTAATATAATTCTACGAAAACAACATAATACAACCCATGCGTGATTCAATGCAATTAGAACAAAACGAACATTTTAAAGAAATTAAAATTAAATTTTCATGAAAATGGAGAAGCGATAAAAAGTGTTTTTGTGCTTTTATTGTAATAATGAAAACCATTTTCCACGTATTTATACCAGCCGACTATGAAACAAAAAAAAATGAATTTTCATTCTTTTATTATTATTGTTTATATATAAATGCTATATAGATATGTTGTTTAAAAACAACGGTCAACGGAGCTTAAATGAAATGAAAAAAAAAGTAACAGAAAATAACGTAAAAACTCAATGGAAAATGATGGTGAATGTTGCCCATTAAAAATTTTTATTGTTAATTTTTCGAGTATAAAAACAGGAGGAAAAAAAAACTATACGGGAGCTGCTACAAAACACATTTTCTGCATTTATTACAAGAGCATTTAATGGTCCAGTCTTATTGTCTTGAATAAAAACGAACATATTTTGTAATTTCATCAGACTTTTAAAGTGTGAATACATTCAATCCATTTCAGACTATAGAGTTGAAATAAATGAAATGATTTCAGAGCTTCCGATGTTGAGTTTAACGAGCACACTAGAATTTTTAAAAATTGTTTGATTTACATACAAATGTGTTGTATGGAAAGTTTGTCGTTCTGGTATTCATGGCAGGTTCTAGTAAATTCAATACTTTGGTTTTTGAGTAGAGTCGAAACGGAAGTATTAAGTTATATGTAGTCGATTCTGCTAGTGCGAGGAAAGGGCTTCTGAGACCGAGTGGTTAAGCAATAGACTGAATATCTGTTACACTCTCGTTTGTGAGGATGTGGATTCGATTCTTATCAGCGAGCAACTATTGCTTAGAACAGTGTTGGCCAAACTGTGTGCCGCGACACAAAAAGATTTTTTTTTGGAAATGACGTGAGCCGTATGCTGTATGTGACTTTGATCATGGCTAACCCATAAAGTAAGCCGTGGTTCAAAAAGTTTGGACAACGCTGGCTTAGAGTGTTGACTGTATAACAAGATGGATTCGCCCAATGATCAAAATATTACAAAAACATTTAAATCACTTGAATTTTTTTTGGAAAAACTGGATGCTATCGAAAGGATTTATGTACTGTAAAGTAAACTAACATGTGGAGTCGTGGGGTAATTAATTGGAAAATTAATGAAAATTCATTTTGCAAATATTTTTTAAAACGTCAATGCCGACAGTTTTTTGGATTCGAACTGTACAATTACTTAACAGTAAAGACGCAAACAGAACTATGATTAACTTGCTATTTATTAGAGGTGAATCCATTGAACACCTTGATTCAATCAAAACAAGATAAGAAGCTTTCATTGATAAAAGGCTTTCACTGCCTTTATGTTGTGATAACGATGTTGATAAAAAGGAATAAAACGTGATAAAATCGTGAGGAACAAAACAATTATTTGACGCAAGTCTCGAATATATAAACCTTTGAAAACATTCCAGACTTATCTCCGAAATTAATTTCAATTGTTATAAAGTAAGATATTAAGCAAAAGATGTGATTTCTTGAGATTTAAATTATTTTTTCTTCAAATTTTAAGTTTTGTAAGGTACAGTGTTAAATATTCAGTATTTAATGCTTTAATAGAAGAATTGGATCTCATTGAACCAATCTGACTATGTGAAGTGTAGCAATCAAACAAAATCTCCCAGACACCAATTCAAAGATTCTTGATCTCAAAAATTTAATCCCGATTCTATTTGGTAGCTGTACAACAACCATTTTTAAATTGCCGCAATGCGCTGTTCGGAAATTGCTCAATCTGAATTTAATTTTTTTCTAATTGACGTTCGTAAATATCAAAATCGACAATTAATTGGTTTTCCCCATTTCCGAGTAGTTGCGACACAAAGTAATTACCTTATACCGTTAGTGTTGGTAAAGATTAGATAAGTTTCGAATGTGAATATTAAGTCATTAGCTTTATTGTGTCGCAAAATGCGTTCAATCCTCTAAATCCGTTTTTAATTACATTTATAACTAGAATGCAATTCTGTTATTCTATGAATGTTCTTTCAGTTGCAGGCACAACATATAATTTTTTTCACCTCAATACAATCGTTTAAACGTCTAATTATGAGGAGTAGGTTTGTAAAATGAACAACGTGACGCCAAGTCAGCGATAATGAAAGAAGAAGGAAATTTTTTTATGACTTTTTCAATGCATTTAATTGTTCAGGTTCCTTTTTTACATCAACATGCCTGGATATTTTTTATTTGAATGAATTGCATTAGTTATAAATCATTCCATTTAGTGGCAAATTGCTTCCTTAAAGTTGAAAGAAAAATATACAAAGATATAAATATAGAACGATATTGAATAATTTTGAAACCAAGAAATGAAAATGGGTTGTTTATAAAGATGGGGGATAAAATCCCCGAAAGATATTAATTCCACGATCCTGCGGGAAAATAACCCCGAAAATCGCAAATTTTAAATGTTCCCTGCGGGATAATATTCCCACTTAGAAATACACGTGGAATTATTATCCTTCCCGAAAGATAATAATCCCACCTATAATTACAAGTGGGATTATTATCTCCCAGATAGATAATAATTTCACTTACATTTCTAAGTGGGATTATTATCTTTATGGAGCACGATTAAAATTATGGATTAAATTAAATCCAAAAAATTCTTTGTCATAGTGGATAATAATTCCACTTGTATTAATAAGTGGATTTATTATCTAATAGGATTTTCATCCAAAAAAATCCCACTTATTAATTTGTCAGTTTCATTATTCCAAAAACTTCAATAAGAAGAAAACATAAATATTGGTTGAATATTTGCTTTTTAAAAATATATTATTCCAAATTGTTTAAAAAATAAAATCAAGGTGGGTTCAAGTGGGTTCAACTGATCTAAAGATGTTAGCTATTCCATATAAAATTATGTTCGAGATTCGCTCGAATGTTTAAAGAAAATGTTGCTTTAATTCCATTTTGTTTCTCTTCATTCATTCGACTGTTTAAAAATCACAGTTTTGTTCAAATGTTTAAGAGTAGATATGTTATTTGAAATTCGGAGTCGAATCATCCATTTTCGATTCTCTCCTGAAATTTTCCAAAAGTCTTTCAAATAATTGTAAATTGCCCTTAACAAAATTAGATTTATAAATCTAATCATAATATTTTTTTACACATTTTGCTAAGAAAAATGTAAAGATTTAAACATAAAAAGAACGCAAAATTAAAATTTTGCTGCTCAAATTCTTATTAAATTAACTAGAATTTTAAAATGGTGGCAGTTCTGATGCTGTTTAACCGTGTCTACAAGCCCCAAGAAGGTCTCCAATGGTTTTAGACCATTTAAGAGATTTGATTGTTTATAATCTCAAAATTTCGAAGTTATTCTGATTATTCAGGTATACAGGGTTACTTAAACAAACTGATGGCCACAAATTTATTGAAAATGTTCAGCAAATAATTAAAGTGATTCGTACAAAATTCAAACGTAATATTTTGTAAGTTCTTTCAAACTTGAGCTCTTTTGAAGAAAAGCTTAAAATATTTTGAAAAATTGAAAAACAGTTTTTCGCATTTTGAGGAAAAAAAAGCAAATGGGCAAAAACAGAATTTAAATTGTCTGTAGCATTTATGGGAAAATCACATAATACGTAAGCAAACAAGCATCAAGACAAGTAAATCAGCAAAAATCTCAAAAACGAGGCATCTCAGCAACTTCTAATTCTTGCCTTTGATCCTGCTGCGTTTAAAAAGATAAGGCTTTATTTTTTTATTGGGTAAGGTAGAAACAGCCATTGCTTCCAAAAAAGCAAAAAATCCTGCATCACGTGAACTCAAATTTTGCCAAGGACAAAAATGATAAAAACGTGATTTATTAGTTTCGCACGTTTTAAATTTTGAAAGACTTCATTTCAAAACTATTGAAAAAACAAAAAATTGAAAATTTTGAATGAAAAGATCTTTGATACATTAAGCATCTAGGCTCTAGGCTTTTAAAAAAAATAAACAAAAGGCATTAAAAAACCAAGTTTTCAACTTAAACATTCAACCAATAATTATGTTTTCTTTTTATTGAAGTTTTTGGAATAATGAAACTGACAAATTAATAAGTGGGATTTTTTTGGATGAAAATCCTATTAGATAATAAATCCACTTATTAATACAAGTGGAATTATTATCCACTATGACAAAGAATTTTTTGGATTTAATTTAATCCATAATTTTAATCGTGCTCCATAAAGATAATAATCCCACTTAGAAATGTAAGTGAAATTATTATCTACCTGGGAGATAATAATCCCACTTGTAATTATAGGTGGGATTATTATCTTCCCGGAAGGATAATAATTCCACGTGTATTTCTAAGTGGGAATATTATCCCGCAGGGAACATTTAAAATTTGCGATTTTCGGGGTTATTATCCCGCAGGATCGTGGAATTAATATCTTTCGGGGATTTTACCCCCCATCGTTTATAAATGACGTTTGGAAAAAATATGACTGCCTTATCTCCTCTGTCACAGCAATGCTCCACACAATTTATTCTTATGCATCGAATATCTCCTGACGTCCTTAAATTAAGAAATTTAGACATCATTTATGATAAACCTTTTAGGGATTATCGTAAATTGAGGGCTCTGTCGCCATTTTGGATACAGAGGTTTTGGTTGACGTCAATTATGATTAACCCTTTACAGAAAGAAAAGTATTTTAAAAGACACAATACAAAGAACTAAATTGCTTCCATTGGAAACTCGAATTGAATCCAAAAATCTCATTTTTCGGAAAATCATGTTTCCACTTAAGTGCTGAGGAAAATACCTTTAGGGTATGTAGAAAATAAAAGAAGAGAAAAAAAATGAAATTTCTTGCTTTTTCACATTTAAATTCCACCTACTCCTTGATAAGGAACAACAACAATAAAGAAATGTTAAGAAGAAGGGGGAAAAATGGATTTTTGATTGAAACAGGAAACCTTTTCAAAAAAAAGCGCACAAAAATGAATTTAAATACCTTCATTTCAAATGGTGCACGGAAATTCTATGTTCGTAGTTACTTTTTGCTTCCTCTGCTGCTGCTACTGTGCTGTACACGACAAATAAGACCATGTCCTATTTAAATGACATTGTTGTATGTATGGATGAAATCTCTTGATATGAAAATGAAAGAGGAAATAAATTCTGGTAGAGAAGTTAGTGGACGTTGGCTGATAAAGCGTATTTTTTGGTTTTAGTAGACTTCGAGTTTAATCTTGGGAGGATTCTCTTGATGTGGATTCAGGTAAGCGAATAAACTTTATTTTATAAAATAATCCAAGTGCAAGTTGCTGTACAGAGTAATAAACCAACACCTTCTCTGTGTTATGATGTGAACAAGTTTTGAGACATCACATTAAGTTGAAGAACCTGCCATTCTTTAACACTGTTTTGAAAATGCCCTTTTGCTGCATCTCTATGTCGTCAAATTTTATTTGTTTTCTAGACTAATTGGGACAGAAAATAATTTGATTTTAAAAATAAATAGGACTGTCCATTGAAATTTCTAGTGAATTCGCTCTTTAGCTATAAGTCAAAATAACTCGATGTTCTTGTAATTTTTGAAGTTCTGTTGAATCCTTAATACTCAAAATTGACACAATAATAATTGCATTGAGACTAGGTAGAAGATTTTTTTTTGTCGAAGTTTTCAGAGGCTTTGGAGGCTTTAGGTTGGAAATGTAGGTCTGTGACCATAGTTTTTGTCAAAATCTGAAATCTCAAAATTTTTTAATCTATGACAAGCGATGAATTGTGTGCTAAGATAGCTTAGTATCCTTAAAAAAGACATCCAAATAATTTATGTTTCTGAAATGCCTTAAAAAGTCATTAAAACCTTCTTACCTCAATAAAAAATCCTTTAAGTTAATCTCAAATAATTACTCAAAATGAACAAAATGCAGCCATAAGAACATCATCTTTTAGACATAAAATTCTACAAACTTTCCATTTTCGAGGGATATAAGAAGAAGGATATAAAAATGCTGATGTTTTGTTGTTAAAAAATCATCATCATGACTGTTATTACGCTATTATTTTGTATGTGAATGACATTTACAATGCGATACGTGAATCCATTGAAGATTTCAAGAGTCATTAAAAGTTTAAGTGCGCCAAGCAATAAACCTCACATTGTTTTTCATGCTGAATGTATAATATTCATTTGCTTCATATATGAATATAAGCTACACATGTATGGTCGTCATTAGATTCAAACAATGCGTAATGTAAATAAAGTAAGTAATTGAAAAATTTCCATCTCGGAGTCAAATTGAAATGTATGATGATACTTGGGTGTGAGAGATTTCCACAGAGAACTTTAAATGATGATGCTAATGTCTGAAAAGTGCAGGTAGAATGCTAATTAAGTAAACGTCATGAGATGCTATGTTTCCATAACTATAATTTTATTAAAAAAGCTTTTTCATTCAATTTACATTTCTTTAATTATTAAGGTATTTAGATTTTACTTACAGAATTTAATTTTTGTTCTCATTTTTGAAATTATTTTAGTTAAATATATATAATTTTCATCGTCATTAATATTATCAATAGATCTTAAATGACTAAAATTTATTTCATCTTTTGTTTTTGTAATCTTTCACTTAAAATTTCATGTTTTGTAAAATATATTTTCACAAAGTACTTTCATCCACTTTAAAGGTAAATAAGTTCTTCTTCTTCTGTTTTTTTCTTTGTAATTTTTTATCTTATCGTGTTAGCTTTTTAAAATTATATTAAATTTTCAAAAAAATTCTTATCCCATTTTTTGGTCTTTAAAAATTAAATTTATTTATTTTTAACCTAAAAGTATTTTTTTTTGCAATTCTATTTAAGTTACTTAAATGCAAGCTGGTGTCATGCGTGGGGAAATCAGGAGTGAGATTCTCAGTTCATTTGTTCTTTGATATAGTTTTTTTTTCTTTTAGAGTAAAGGTTAAATCTTTGCTTAGTCAGTTGCTCGACACATAAACTTAATTCCTCTTGATATGAGATTGAACAATTCTGACAAACCGTAAACTACAAATTACAAAAGCTTCATAGCTAATCTATCAAAAAATCTTTTTAAATTCATTTATTAACACAAAATGGAAACCACTCAATGGAGTAATAAAAGAATTTTAAAAAACACATGTGACTAATCCTTAATGAAGCTTTTGCCATTTCTGTGTCTTGTTATCTGAATTGTCAAGCAACCGATCAATTAAAAACTTATTAAAATTATTTTAGTGATTCCAAAATTTGAAGGTTAACTTGACAAATAATTTAATAAATAAAATTAACAAATTTACTGAGAAATACACCCTCTTGGCTTAGTTGGTATAATTTTTTTGGTATCATTCACTAGACGTTTTGTCTTTAAGAGTGTTTTAAAGATTTTGATGAGTTTTTGGTAGAGTTTTCTGGTGTCAGATAAACATTAAATTGACTCAGGAGCTGTTCATTTCCTACGTAAAGATTAAACATATTTTTAAGACCTCCTCCCGCCTTGTCACAAAATTCCTATTTAGACAAATTCCTTTCGCTTTAACTGTCATTAAATCTAAGACTCTCTCCTTGTTGTCTAAAGCGTTACGGAATAATTGAACCGCTCCTTATTTAAATGCCTTTTTCAATTTATATTCTTTAACTTTCATTTTTTCTTGTTGTTTAATTCTAATACAGCCCATCTTAAACATATAAAACTCGACAGGCGCGTAACCAGGGGGGGGGGATTTTAGGGACAAATTCCCCGACGTTAATTTTTAATTTTCTATATAAATTTTTTTTATTTTATATCCCACCCCTTCAAATTTCTGGCTACGCCCCTGAAACTCGACATACTAAATTAGATACATTTACTCTAATAGACAATTGAGTATACTCATGGTCCCGAGCAAGGGTGTGGTACTGATGAAATGATCAAAAATGATCAAAAAATGATCAAAAATGATCAAAATTGATCAAAAATGATCAAAATTGATCAAAAATGATCAAAATTGATCAAAAAAGATCAAAATGTAATTCTTCAGTTCCACACCCTTGGTGCCGAGTATGTTCTAAACATATTTTTTTTTGAATATGTTATGGTCCCAAGAGTATATTCATTTGTCTGTTAAGGACTAGTGTTAAAATAGTATGTAGCACAGCACAGTTTGGAAAACACTGCCTTAAAACTATGCTGCTAGAACTGTCGAAGGACTGTTTTGAATTTTCAGAGAAGTTATTTTTTCCCAGTTGTTTTAAAATTTCATAAAAAATTAGAAATGTCCTTTACTTAAAATGTATCTCGCTGTAGACCTGTTAAGACATTATCATAGTATTCTGAAGAAGTTGGATTCAGGTGCTGTTTTAAAGTTTGAACTTCTTAATTAATTTATTATTAAAATTTATTAACTTTATAATTTTCCCTCACAACTTTCCCTCACACTATTAACTACCAAACAATTCATAGTTAAACACATAACTAGTCTGATCCTATTCCCTTGTGTATAATTAAAATAAATTTTTATTCCTTAAACTTGTCTCAATTAATAGCCCAAAAATAATTTTTCTTTCTCTTACAAAGCTTACGTTAAAAAGTCTTCTTCATGCATCACACACTCATTTTCATATTCATTATGCGTGATAATAGAGTGACACCAGTTGCTATAGCATTTTAATATTAAAATTTGTTTTTTCTTACATTTTCTTTTGTCTCTTATGCCTGTTGAATTATCGAAGGTAAGCAGTTAATGTGCAGTAACTATGTGATACTAAAGCCAAAATTAAAATCCATAAAGATTGACTACATATCTTAGTTGCTGATGAACGTATCCAACTTAAATCGAAGCCAATAAATTCACGTGTTGATGGATGCTCAAACTGTTCACGATATTCTTGTGGACATGGTAATTCACGCTTCTGTAGAGTAAGCAAATTAACTTTCTCATCGTCATTACTTTCGTCATCACTGTAGTCATTTTGCTGCTTCAAAACATTTTCATATCCCACATCCAAACTTGGCTTTTCTTCCCTCGGCTTTCGACATTCAACCTCCTCTAATGAATATCTTAATTCAAAATTTTTTGTGAGATTTCTCAAATCATAAATCCATGCGAGTCGGCAATCACAAATGAAGTCGTTATCTATTGAAAAATGAAAAAAATGAGAAGAAAAAAATTTAAATTTCAATTTCTTAAAGTTATGCAAAGAAAATGTGAATTTCCTCTTCGTCTCCCCTATTAAGATCATTAGAAATTTTTGAGAACTTTTTTTGAACTCTCGACTGCAAATAAAAAACTTTTCTATAAAGATGTTGAAAAATATTTAATTTAAGAAGTAAACTTATACTTTAAATATGAAGACTCTCTTCTTTTTTATACGAGAAAACCTTGAAGATATATTATGAACAGGATGCGGAAAAGTAAATGAATTTTGCAATATTTTTTATTACTTTTTTTACTGTCAGAAAATGTTTAAGAGACTTTAAGATGTCATGGGAAATACTGGAGCATTAAAAGATTTTTTCAATAGTTTAAAGATGCAATGAAACTTTTTGAATCATTTTAATTGACAGCATTAGACAATGATAGTCTAAATCTTATGATTTGGTTTGAAAAATCTGGGAAAAATCATTCTGAAATATTGTGAAAAGAATTGTCTTTGGAACGAGACGAGCAGGACAAGTGTGAACAAAAGTTTTTATTTTAAAAGAATGAGGATGGTTGGGGGGGGGGGGGGGGAGGGGGGCATGCATTTTGCACGAATGATATAAAATAGGCTGAAAGTTGGTTCTGTTTTTGGCATTCGTAGTTTTTTGATCCTAATTGAAAAGTAAGGGCCTAGGTTGGCTTAGCAAATCATGACTCATTACATTACACCAGTGATTCTAAACCTATGGTGGTCGATGAAAGCTTAAGCGTGTCAATAGTAAAAGCCATTATATTCCAAAAATGTGAAAATACGGTTTACTATATTTTAGAAATAAGCATTAGTAACGTTAGAGGCATTAAGACAAATTTGCAAGAGAAAGTTACCACAGACTGATCTTATGCTCGACAGAAATTTTGAAAAAATGAAAGTTATTTTACAACGGCTTGTTTGGCGTTACATAATCTCCAAACATCCTCAAAGTTTCCAAGTTGCCAAAGCTTTCAAATAATGATCTCTTTTCCTATAAAGTTTCTTTGATATTTGTCCGTCAATCGTTTAAAAAAAGAAATATGATGAACTGAAAAAAAATATTTATTTCCTTTCCTTTTCCTTCATTATAAAATCTATAGTCATATTCAATACAGAGCATTTTCATTCGAATCATCCGGGAAATAAAAGAGAAAAAAAACCCATTTGAATGAGAAGAGGAAAAAAAAAAACTTTTTAACGAGCTGAACTTTTATGTGCTTTTCATGATCGATTAGTTTTGAAAAAAGACGAAAAAAAAAAGTTTTCAATCAAATAATTATCCTGCTGTTGGCGATAAAAAATCAGTATATAGAGGACATTTCAAATGAGAAATTATTTAAAGCGATACAATAGGCACAAAAAGCCCGCGGGATCATTTTCAGTATTTTACGGTTCATTGATAGTTATTATAGGATGTGGATTTTCCATGCCGTTTGAAATAAATGCGAAATAAATTTCTCTATTTGTGGCATTGCCAGCAAATTAGTTTTAATTAGGCACAATTTTTTTTGCCACATTCATAAATTCATTTCGTTTATGCTTTTGCTGATTTTGGTGGCATAAAAAAATTTTTTTTTTATCGCTATGATAATGATTTGATCACGTATTCAATCTCAACCGTATGAATATTATTAGCACAAAATTATCACAGTTATTTTTTTTTGTCAGGATTATCATTGATGAGTATGTGTTGAAAAAATAGAACAAATAAAATAAATATAGAAATTACCTTTGATGAGCATCATGCTAGTGTGATTAACGAGATTATTCATCAGGGGTTGTATTGTGATCATGGTGATAGATTCCAATGAATTTCTCATGAGATTTAAGTATGTTAATGCAGGTGTCGGTGCGAATGTTCCTGGTTCAAGAGATTTCATTCTATTATAGTCGAGCTTTAATCGTTTTAAATTATTCAGTCCATCAAATGCCCTTCCGGTTATAATCTGAAATGTAAACGGATAAAGTTTGCATGAGAAATTTTACGAATTGACTTATTGATTTAGGTATTTTTTGGGTCAGTGCATAAATTCGTATTTGATGTTGCTATAAAAATGTTAAAGGATTGACGTATCAATGTTTGAAAATTAAGGAAGTTGAATATCCGCAAATACCAAATGGGGCTGTACATAAGTTAAGGTCATCGGAAAAATGCTTACTAATACTTAGATATGCTTAAGGAAATATTATTTTGTTAAAATCTGTGCACAATCTTAACCCCTACTCGGCCTTACCCACTACAATCTACCTATATGGTTATTAGTAGAGGTTTTTAAAAGACTCTCGAAAAATCACAAATTAAAAATAAATTCCTAGGCCTTGGTCAATCCGTAACACTATACTTAAGTTCAAACTCTGATTCTAGAGTGGGACCCGCCTTAGAATAACCTTTCAAACCAGCCACAGTAATAAATGATAAATTCCAACGCCGATTAAACTCATTATTGAGCTGATCTTAATTCGAATCTCCATCAGATTATTTATTTTATGCTTGTACCGTTCAGACAATGCCTTTGTGCCTTTATCATAAAATCATGCAGAACAATTGACTTACAACAGCATCATAAATCTTCAGAAATTTCCCATCCCAAAAATATTTGACATCATAATCGAATGCACCCTAAGCCATTTCCTCAAACTCGACCGTGATTTAATATAAAACTTCCTGCATGCTTGATTGAAACTAAATAGTAAATTTATGTAGGCAAACAATTTTCCAATGTGTAACAATAAATATTTATTGTAAGAAAGTAATGATCCGATAATATTGTGAGATAATTTAATGCTCAGCAAGGATAATTTATTTCAAAATTTATAGTTTTTTAAATTTTACTTACACTGTCTATACCAACATTTGCCCTCCCGTCGACTTAATGTTGCAAATTACATTATGAGCGGAGAAGTTAGTTTCCGATATCAAGGGGGAATCATAATGTAAGTGAACGAGTGTGCATGAATATAAAAAAAGCAATGTAGGAAATAAAAAAAGAACTGCAACTGTTTTGTGCTATTTTTTTCAATTTGCTGTCTTTGCCAATGCCTCACAAATATTTTATGATTTTCATCAAAGGCAGACTCTTATTGAATATCAGCAACCTTCCATGAAACGAAAAATTTTTGTATACTCATATTTTTTTTTTGCTTGCTCTTGCATGTATATAGACAGCACAGTGAACATACTAAAGATATCATCATCGTCGTAATCATCATCCCTAAGCACATCATATATTTGTTAAATTCATTGAATATTTATGTGTTCGCTCATGAGTTGTCATTTTATTTATGATCATGGGCTATCATAGTTTTTTATGATTTGTTATGGCTTGCAACAAAGAATAAATTTATTTTACTTCTCTAACTTTTTCTTCTTCTAGCACAGTAAATAGAAACTTTTTAGCGCATTTTTGAAACTTGTTTCAAAAAGGTAGCTTAATAACGCACTTTGGTCGGCTGGTCGGCTGGTCGGCTGGCTGGTCGGCTGCTAAGAAAAACTTTTAATCTAGACATCGTAGAGAGTTCTAGTTTTTTGCATTAGTTCCGTTATATCGAGTTATTGGCCCGCCGGACATTTAAAAATCTTAAAACAGTGTATTTATGCTATAATTAATGAATTTTTGTTTTGTTTTCAGTGTAACCTGCTCAAATTTTATTTTACCTCTATAATTTCAATATTACCTCTATAATTTCAAAAAATTTCTAGCCGTTGTAAAATTTGAATTTCAAAAAACCGTTAAATGATAAACTTTTTTTGTATGGAAATTCATTGGAACAAATTATTTAATTATACTATAATTATTATTTCGTAGTGCAACTTATAGCGGGAAAATTTCAAACTATTTATTGACCGTTAGAAAATTTGAATTACAAAAAAATGTTAAATGATAAACCCTTTCTGTATGAAAATTCATTGCAACAAATTATTTAATTATACTATAATTAATTTTTTCGTAGTGCAACTTATAGCGGGAAAATTTCAAATTATTATTATATTGACCGTTAGAAAATTTGAATTACAAGAAACCGTTAAATGATAAACTCTTTCTGTATGGAAATTCATTGCAACAAATTGTTTAATTATACTATAATTAATTTTTTCGTAGTGCAACTTTTAACGGCAAAATTTCAAATTATTTACTGACCGTTAGAAAATTTGAATTACAAAAAATCGTTAAATGATAAATCCTTTCTGTATGGAAATTCATTGCAACAAATTATTTAATTATACTATAATTAATTTTTTCGTAGTGCAACTTATAGCGGGAAAATTTCAAATTATTTATTGACCGTTAGAAAATTTGAATTACAAAAAACCGTTAAATGATAAACCCTTTCTGTATGGAAATTCATTGCAACAAATTGTTTAATTATACTATAATTAATTTTTTCGTAGTGCAACTTTTAACGGCAAAATTTCAAATTATTTACTGACCGTTAGAAAATTTGAATTACAAAAAATCGTTAAATGATAAATCCTTTCTGTATGGAAATTCATTGCAACAAATTATTTAATTATACTATAATTAATTTTTTCGTAGTGCAACTTATAGCGGGAAAATTTCAAATTATTTACTGACCGTTAGAAAATTTGAATTACAAAAAATCGTTAAATGATAAATCCTTTCTGTATGGAAATTCATTGCAACAAATTATTTAATTATACTATAATTAATTTTTTCGTAGTGCAACTTATAGCGGGAAAATTTCAAATTATTTACTGACCGTTAGAAAATTTGAATTAAAAAAAACCGTTAAATGATAAATCCTTTCTGTATGGAAATTCATTGCAACAAATTATTTAATTATACTATAATTAATTTTTTCGTAGTGCAACTTATAGCGGGAAAATTTCAAATTATTTATTGACCTTTAGAAAATTTGAATTACAAAAAAACCGTTAAATGATAAACCCTTTCTGTATGGAAATTTATTGCAACAAATTGTTTAATTATACTATAATTAATATTTTCGTAGTGCAACTTTTAACGGCAAAATTTCAAATTATTTATTGACCGTTAAATAATAATCCTTTCTATATAAGCATTCATTGTAACTTTTTGTTAATTACACTAAAATTAATGATCTTCTAATCTTCTCATGATCTGTAAATGAACGCAAAATAATTACATAATCAAATACTGATCGCTAACACAAAAATGCGCTTAAGTCCCTCGATCAATAACACGAGGACTTCTGTAATTTTTTTTCTTGCATCTATTTTTTCCCGTCCTCCCTTGATAATGAATTATTTATGTTTATTCTTCTTCTTTATTCTTCTATTCTTAGTTCCTTTTCTCTTGCTGCCATCGGCAGAACAAAAAAATGTCATAGTTCTACAGTCGATAATATCGTAATGTAATGTGGTGGCATGATTTTCATTCTTTTTACTAAAGAAAAGTTTCATGGCTGCTTTCTTATGCGCCTGGTGAGAGGGAAATAAATAATTTCTGCCTGTTCATAAATCTTTAATAAGTAGCAAGTCTCAAGCATATTCAGTTTTTTTTTCGGCGAATGTACGTGAACGTGTACAAATTCAGGGCTGGTATTAATTTTGAGGACAATTTGTTTTCGTATTGAATTTCGCAGGGTTTCAAAAATATGGACTTGAGTTTGAGTAAATATTAGAATGAATTGAGCTACAAGGCAAAATTAGCACATCTTCAATATAAAGTTCATTTTCAGTGTCACTCACAAGTAGCTGTTTTATCTTCGTCATATGGAAATTTTGATTATGATCGAAACGAGTTTTTAAAATAAATCATTTAAAGAAGATCCCAACACTTATTCATGATATTATGAATCTGCTTACAAATAACTACAATTGTTTGTGATTCATGTGATTGCAGCATTAAAAGCTACTGTAATATTTGAGCCACTTGTCTCTGTTTGTACCATTAAAAAAATCAAACAAAGTCCACAAATCCTGACAAATTGAAGATATTATTCCAACAAGGAAGGGGGGGGGGGGGGGGGGGAAATTTGGTTCTAAAATTCTCCAATTTTTGGCATGGATTCCGATATACACTTGGATCAAGAGCATATACAAAAAAATTTGAGCGAGAAGGGAGGGCGGGGGGGGGGGGGGGTTAAAATTCAGACACTCACAAGATACCCCAGAACTAAAAGTAACAGTAGCAGATTTTATGGATGGCAAGAGATCACAAGGAAGACCGAAGATCTCATGGATTGGATGTGTTGAAAAGGACGTTAGAGTCCTTAATATCCCGAACTGGCAGACGGTTTCTAAGGATAGAGCTGTCTTCAGACGATCTTTAAGCGCGGAAATGTGCCCAAGAGTGCCCCAGCCAAGCAAGTAAGTAAGTTTAAAATTCAAAGAGCAGATTTTCTTGATCCTTGAGGGTTTTGCGAAACTAGTCAGTGTCTAACCATATAAACCAGAGGTCGAAGCCGACATGAGTTCGCTCCGGTTCGCTAAAAAACCGATTCAAATTTGAATAGATTTTTTTCTGCTGCCACTTGTGAAGTACAACATTTTATACAAATTTACCGGTTATCGAATCGGTTTTTTAGCGAACCGGAGCGAACTCATGTCGGCTTCGACCTCTGATATAAACCTTGGCTTTTGTTAAGCTGAAAGAAGAATGTAAAATTCACCAGCACAACTAAATGCACACACCAACCCTGTATCCCACGTTTTCATGTCATACATATTTGAAGAGAAGAGAAAAATTTTTTAATTAAATATTATTTTTCATTTTCATTTTTCGAATGTTTACAGAGTTTGTGTTATATTTGTAGGGTTACCATCTAATTTTCATGAAAATACAGGACTTTTGGTAAATTTTTTCGAAAAATACAGGACATAGAGTAAAATTCGAAAATTAACGGAAATTTTCGTGAAAAAAATACAGGACCTGGAACAAAGTTTTCAAATTTATACAGGACAGGGTTTTGAAATACAGGACTGTCCGTTGTAAAACTACGCAGATGGTCACCCTATATATTTGTGAGTTTCTTGCTTTTTGTAGGAGTGGAGTTTAAGTGTGCCAATAAGTCATGCTGAGTTATTGATAGCAAACCAAATAAAAACTTTTCATTTTCAACATCTTTATAGAATTATAAAGTAAGAGCTAGTTATAGAAACGAGAACGAAATGACATGGAAAAATATTACTGTTACATTTGTTAATGACATAAGCTTCTGTAGAAAGCTATCAACGACAAGGGATTTAAAGCTTTTTAACACAGTAAAGCTCCATAATAGTTGAGACATGCGATGACAGTAAAAATTAAAGTAATGGAACTTAAATCGCTAAATTACAAGAATGGCATTAGAACTATGTAATGTCTATATCATTAGAAATTAATTCCATTACAGCACCTACAAGAATCCCTCGCACGAAACTGTCAGTATAATCAATGAAGGAGAAAATTCCTTTTAATTTTCGAGCCTGTCTATCGTGAGCGGTGAAACGACACTTTTGTGTTTATTAACATAGGCGAGATGAGGCAAAAATTCCCTTTGGTAATGATACTCGGCATTAAATTATCATAAAAAGCCAAGTCAAGCAGATGAGTGAGTGAGATAGAGAGAATATAGGGAGACAAAAGAAGCATATTTGTCGCTTATTTGTTATCATTTTGAATGTACAGAAGAAGAGGCAGAACAAGGCAGGAAAGTAAGCAGTCGACAAACAAAACGTTTGTTAATGGGATGAATTTAATTAAAATCTACGTGACACATCATTGTACTTGAAAATGCTAAAAAGTACGGCGGGTTTGCTTTTTTAATTTCTGTGTTCCACAGTGTGTTTAACTACTAAACATTTGTTGCAGGAGAACATTTTTATGTCGGGAATTTTTTTTTTTGTTGATGAGGCGTGTCAAATTGTGGAAATGTGTCCAAAATGTCACGGAACATTTTCAAAGTTGGCAATAAGAATGTCACATTTGACATCATATACTCAACATTCCTTAACTGTATAAATGTATGCCATAAATGACAGAAATAACAGCATCAAAATACGTACAAAACATGCCAAGATACACATTTTTCTTGAGGGGTCGTACATAAATTATGTCTAACATGGAACCAGTGATGTTAGGAAGAAGGCAGGTTGAAAAATTCGATTCAATCATTGGAATAGTGTAACTGAAGGACGCCTCCATGATATCTCCAATCAAAATGAAACCTTTGCCATAATATCGTCAAGCAATCCCCAATTTTCCACAAAACCCGAATGGCACAAGTCGGTTAATCGATCAGAAATTCAGCACCAAGCCAGTGTGACTCTGGCATGGTGCTGGATTTAAATTGAATACAGCACCATGGCAGAGTCACGTTAACTGGATGCCGGGTTTCTATTCGATTAACCGACTTGTGCTAGTCGGGTAATACCGAATTTGCCTTCAGCCTCAGCTAGGCAAGTGTATCATGAAAACAGTCTAAAAATAAGCACAACTGTCTTTATATGATAATATATAAATTTAATGAAATTAAGGCAGGGTTTTTATCCGATTCAAACACTACCAGCTTGAGAAGAAGAATGAACGTTTGATAGACACCATTTATGAACAATCCCACATACCTCTACAACCTGATATTACATCAAAACTTTTCATTTTCTCTGAGTGATATCAGACAAAAGTTTTTGATATGTGAATAATTTTTTGCGCATTATTTTTATGAGTTTGGAACATCCTTGAAAAAGAAATACATCATAAATAAGAGCAAGCATCACTTTTGGAAACGTTTCTTGAACAAAAAATATTTTCCTCATAATCTATTCATTGCCACCCATATGCTGGTATTTATTTAATTCGCATGAAGCACAAGTTGTGATACAAACAAACCCATTTTCGCGTAAATTACCTCAAATTATAACCCTCACAAAATTTTTGTAGCGAAATTAATTTTCATTAAAAAAATATTTTTTGTGTGACCGCCATTTATGTTGGAAAAAATTAAAATATAAATGTGAAAAGTGCGCTTAATTACATACAATTACAGCAGAAAAAGCGTAATTAGCAGTAACAGCTGAAAATTAGTTGTAATACATAAAATAAACATAAGCAAAACAAATTACCTCAATAACATTGTGACCCAAATCTAATTCAATGAGACTCCAGAGTTCAGAGAACATGTTGTCACCCAAATATCTCAATTTGTTGTTGTCAAGCTTCAGGATCCATAGATTACCGATACCCTTGAAAGTCTCGCGCGTTATCACATCAATAATATTGTGACTTAATGAGAGTTCACTCAATTTATCGAGATTCTCAAATGTATCTTCATGTAACATCTCGATGCGGTTACGCTCTAAATTCAAGCGACTCAAATTCGGTAAGTTGATAAATGCAAATGGATCAATCTCATAAATTTCATTACGACATATGTTTAGTTCTTGTAGCTCCATATGATTTGCGAATGCATATGCACTGATGACTCTAATTTGATTATTTGGTAGTGAAATATTGTGTATTCGTGTAAAATTGCCAAACGCGAAACCAAATATTTCATGAATTTGAGCGTATTCGATTGTCAATTTCTCCAAGTGTTTCAACGGTTGAATGACAGATGTAGGAATGAAAGATAAATTACCAGAACCGTGAACTGAAAACACTAAACTTTGTAATTGGGTTTGTGTATGAAATGCTGTCCAATCTGGATCACGAATTGACAAATCAGAACGAAATATCCAGCATTCTGCTTTATGTGCTTTACCATTGTCATTATTATCCGGCGTACAATGACACATCAGCTTCATATCACGTTGCTTCGAACATAAATTAATTGGCATGACTTTTGACTCGATAATATGATGTTGCTGGGATGCAAGTGATGATGGCTCGCGATGTTTCTTACGATCTCGTTCACGATGACGACTCTCTATCGGTATAGCACATAGATATAGGAGAATTATTGTATAAAGCATGTGACTTAATGCTGCCATTTTTATTTTCATTGATCTTTCTCTCTCTCGCACGTTTTTTGACTGTCGTTCAGCTTGCAAATTCTATCATTTGATTCAATTTTTCAACATATATGCTACTAGTTGTCTGTTGTTGGAATTTGCAGTTCTTGCTCCTACTATCCTTTGTTATTTATGTAGTTTTTTTTTTCTTTCAATCTTTTATCTCTTCCTTCTCCTTGCTACCACTATATCTTCACTTTGCCCGCACGACACCGACACAATAAAACTTTTACCGTTATTATCTGCAAAAAATGAGAAAAAAATAGAATACAAGAGAGTGTTAATGTAGATCATAAATCTTAGCTCATAAATAAATTTAATTATATGCATTTTTTTTAAACTTGTTATATCTCTCATAAAACTTTATGTCATGTATTTTGAGTACAGTATGGAATTTATTAAAATTGACTGAAAGAGAATTTTTTTTTGAAAAGGTTGGGAACCTTGCAATAGGTCAATTTGGTAGGATAAATGCTATTCCATTGTGGATGTTAGCAAAATTCAAGATGATTAATTTTTGAGTTAAATGTTCAGGTATAGAAAGGATCAACACGTATTTGAAGTAGAATTTAATTTTATATCAAGTGAAGTCAACTCTACAATGGCGGTGAAATGGAATCAGTGGCCTAAGAAGTAGAGCGTTGGCCTTACGTGCCAAGGGTTCTGGATTCAATCCCAGGCAAAAGTCAAATTTTAGAAGCTATTTTTCCATTTCATCGTTCTAGATACGAATTTCGGTTCTTGTGGTGGGTGTAGTTTTAAGGTCTTCGGCACATGATGAGTCTCCTTTGCTAGGTATACAAGGATATCATCTTGCGCACACGAGCTGTGACTGAGTACATTGCAGGGTACATCAGGTCTATAGACGTACTCGAGTCTTTGCAATGCGCAGAGCTTGCAAGTGGTTCGGTTCCGATTATAATAGATGTGATATAAAAGATTCTGTTCTAATTTTAATCACTAGTGCCTCAAAAAGCTGTGCCCTCTCCATGCTCTTCTAACTCTACAATCTTATAAAACTCTTGAAACTGGGCCTGATGCAAAGTTTTGGATATATTTCAGTTTGTTATCCTTTCAATGATCGAGTTGACATTGAAACATATTTTTCTGAACACACTCCCTGAATCAGATTAAGCCTCAATCCTTCCCCTCACCCAATAACTCTTAAAAGCTCAAATTTTCAGAACAACCAAAAATCACATTATGGAAACAAAAAAATCCCCCAAAAACCACAGTGTTCAATCAACTTGAACAGAAGAGCTTAAAACAATATTGAATAAAAATCCATGCAAGGCCATCAAATGTGGTAAGTATTTAATTTAATTAATTAAGAGAACTCTACATGATAAATTTTTCCATCTTTTCAAGTCATGTCATGAAAATAATATAATTAAGGAAAATTAAGAGAAATCTGTGAGTGCATCAGTTATACATGTGAAAGTTTTTCATTTTCCATTTCCATTTCAAGAGTTTTTTTATGGTTTTCGAGAGACTTAAGAAAATCTTGATTAAATTGAAAAAATTTTTATGTCAATTTCATTGCATTATTCATTGCATTTTATGGTAAATCCACTTCTTCGTCTTCTTCTATATAGTTTTCTAAAACTTTATATTTTCTTTTCTCTCTCATCTAGTTCTTTTATAGTATTATCAAGTGCTTTTCTTCTCCCTCCTGCTTTTAAAATCAGGTTTCTTTAGAAAAAAAACATTTTTCTATTTAAAATTGCAGCACATCTCGACTAATTATATTCTATTGATTCACGTACTCCGATTTAAGAATGTTTTCATTTCTACCTTTTTTTCTTCGGAGGGGTTAGTTTATAAATTAAGTCATTTTTTGTAAATGACTTTTAAAATAAATTTAAATTTTAAATGACTAGAGTCACACTCAAGAGCTTCAATTTCTGTCATTCCAACGAATATGACGTCATTTTTAAACAAACCCCAAGAAAAATTCCCTGTCTTTTGAATGTTTTGCTAAAAGCTTTTATTTTTCAGAATTCTTATATTTTTTTTTTTGTTGAAATAAGAGCTTTCTCTAGAAGACAACACCTGCGTAGGATAAGCAGTTGAATAAGCCGGTGTTGGTGTCATAAAATCCGTTAACACCATAAAGGCATATGAATCCGATTGAACCTCTACCTTCGGAGAATTTCTCGTAAACCTTTTAGTTGACAATTCATTCAGAAATTTTCAGCATTGACGAATTTATCAATCACATAAAATAAATTGAGTTTCGAGGAAATTGCTTTACAACTTTTTTGAGGAAAGATTTAAAATAAAAAATAAATCTCAAAATGCATCCATTAAACGAAATGAAATACTTGTCATATCATTGGTTTTGCTGTTAAATTTTGGGTTGACATCTCAGATATTTGAAAGTTGAATCTTCAATTTTTTCAATGCATGTATGGAGAAGTATCATGAAGTCTATCTTGTTGAAAATCGAGATGTTTGTGAGTTTTTTCTTAGAACGAAGTGCTTATGCGTGTATAATGCAGCATTACCCTAGATTGGTACTTTGATCGAATATTCTTATTATTGGTTAAATCAGATCAAATAGTCATCGTTTAGACAATATTGGAATATAAGTCGATTGGATACTCCAACACCATCTTGTTCCTCAAAATATCATTGACCAACTAGCTAAAATATCGACACTGTTTTAATAAATTGATAATCTTGCTCCAAAGCTACAAAATCCAGAGGGCGAAGTCGACTCGAATTTTGTATGGAAAAGTCGACTTGAGTTCACTCGACTTCATACAAATTTCGAGTCGACTTCGCCCTCTGACAAAATCTACTATTTTATGTTCGCTCAGTTATTCTCAGACCTCAATCCTAATTACATCGGATTTAATCAGATTTTAATCGAATTAAAATCTTTAAGTTCTCAAATTATATTCTTATCAACTTAATTATAATCAAAATTTTCTTTATAATAAACTCCTTCATGTGTTTGTTTCTTATCAAACTTTAAATACAACAAAAGACAAGCATGTCAAAAACAAGAAGTTGCCCGAGGCTGAAATCTGCTTTGAAGAAATTTACGTAAAAACATGAAATTTAAATTCGATTTTAATTTAAATTGAGTTGAATAAAATCAAAATAGACAATTTCAAGGACATGAAATCTACTTTTAATTTAAGTGCTATGCCTTGTTATTTTCTATCATCCTTAAAAATTAAAAGAAGAAAAGGGACAAAGTTTTTTCATTTTCCTTTTTCTAAATCTTCCTTTTTTTCGGAAAAAGTTCTTGCTGTCTTTGACATGAATTGGAAAAATTTTCCATCTCTTCTTCCTTCTTATTTTATTCCTCGTGTACATACATCCTCAGTTTTTCTTTCTGTCATTCAAAAGTTTTTTTTTGTTTTATTTTTTCAAGCAAGCGAATGGTAACGAATGTTCTTTAATCTTTTTGTGATCTCTTTACTCTACATCAAGGATTAAATACAGAACCTTTGTACTACCCCGAAGCTAGTCAATGAGTAAAGAGGAGAGAAGAGAAGATTTTTGTCTAGGAAAGAGTGGGTTTAAGGCATGAGAACGACACATATTGTTAAAGTTTTCAAATATTTATCAGTTTTCTTCTTGCATGGTTCAAAATAAATATAAGTAACAATGTTGTATGATATTAACATGTCATGTAATAATTTCATGTAGAAAATACACAGAGCAAAAAAAAAAAAAAAGAAAATAAAGTTTAAAGAAGATGAAGGAACATGAAATTTACAATATGTTCCTTTCTGCAAATTTGCTTGTTGTTTTCCTAGCTTACACATTTTATTATTATTATTTTTCTTTTAGATACTTTCTTAAAGCACTGTAAATCTTTGAACATATGAGTAATGAGTTCAAAAGATTTAGGAATATATGTACTTCAAGGAATTATGTTCGCTCTTTGTTTTTGAGTATTAAAATTAATTCGCTCTGGCTTAGTTCTTGAGTTTTAAGGGGTTATGAGGTTTTAGGAATTGTATTAAGTTGGATGATTTATTTTGAAGGGAGATTATAGCAATTCCACAATTGATAACAAAAATGATGCCCTAGTTTCTTAGAATAGGGTCGTAAAAAGAAATATTTTGATGGCAGTACAAACTGGTGTCCTGGAAGTACGCGGGCAGGATATGTTCAATCGACTTGAAACTCAGCCTCAATATTGTCCTAGTATAGGTTTTCAAAAAATTCGTATCCTCTTACTACTTTCATGTCTACTTTCATCAGACTTATTTGACTGTCAATAGCCTTTAGGTTCCAAAACTATGTCTTTTAACATAATGTTATATCGTCGAACTTTAATGATGTGATTACAGGAGTGAACAAAGTTTCAGAAGCTCTGCTTCAGTTTTAGAAGCTCTGCTTCAGTTTCAGAAGCTCTGCTTCAGTTTCAGAAGCTCTGTTCAGTTTCAGAAGCTCTGTTTAAGTTTCAGAAGCTCTGCTTCAGTTTCAGAAGCTCTGCTTCAGTTTCTGAAGCTCTGCTTCAGTTTAAGAAGCTCTTCTTCCGTTTCAGAAGCTCTGCTTTAGTTTCAGAAGCTCTGCTTCAGTTTCAGAAGCTCTGCTTTAGTTTTAGAATCTCTGCTTCAGTTTTAGAATCTCTGCTTCAGTTTCAGAAGCTCTGCTTCAGTTTCAGAACTTTTGCTTCAGATTCAGAAGCTCTATTTCCGTTTCAGAAGCTCTGCTTTAGTTTCAGACGCTCTGCTTTACTTTTAGAAGCTCTGCTTCAGTTTCAGAAGCTTTTTTTCAGTTTCAGAAGTTCTGCTTCAGATTTAGAAGCTCTGCTTTAGTTTCAGAAGCTCTGCTTCAGTTTCAGAAGCTCTGCTTCAGTTTCAGAAGCTCTCCTTCAATGTTGAATATCTGTTTCATTTGAGATCAGAGTCGCTTAACTTTATGCAGTGAATTGATAAGAACAATAACTCTAAAATCAGAGTCAACCTCAAGATCTGTCTAGAATCTATAGGAACCTACTTTTCCTCTTGTCAAGCTTACTTTCTAGAATACACTCATATAAAACATTTAAAACATTTCGAAAAACTTCAAAAATTAAAAATATTAATACTTAATTGTTAATCCCTACTTGTTGTTTATGCATCTACTAATATTTTACAAACAGAAAAATGTTCTTGTCTACTGCTTTCATGAAAATACTCTTCAAGTTTAAAGGATGAAAAGTATAGAAAACTGGAAAATGAAGTTTGAAGATTACCAATAATCAGCTTATTTATACACATCACCATCCACCCAC